CTTTAAACACGGCTTTTAAACGATTTTTAAAACTAGAAACTGAGACAAGTGAAGTCAGACCAAAAGTTTTTTCAAGCAGATTCCAGAGAAGGAACAGCAGAGGCAAAGCGAGACTTGGTCTTTAGAGTTGTTAACCACAAATACTGAGAGGACCGGGTGTTATAATTGGAAACCAGTGCTAGTTACAGTAGATTAAATATGGAGGTGACGAACGCCGCAATGTTCTTATAAATGAGGGTAAACCAATGAATTTCACGACGAGTGTGTACAGAAGGTCATTTAACAAGAGAGTAGAGGTGACCATGATGTGTGCTATATGGAGCATTTGTAACAAAGCAGTGATAAATTGTGTCCAGCTTGTGAAGGACACCCTTACAAGCACTTCTGTACATTATGTCTCCATAATCCAACAGAAGTAGAATGGTTGGACATACAGATGTGCCCTTCATCTTTCAACATTACCAGAATATAATGACACTGATGCACAGCCACACCTATAGTTCAGTAATTTGACATTAGCAATCTGTTAGCTGGGCGGCTTCCTTCACTGATTCACCCAGCTGACGTGGCTCCGCGGCTAATTTTAATGACGTCACACCTCACAGAGGTTGTGTCATCGTGAGTAATCCAGGATGACTCGGAGTAATCCAAGTGATGCATGAAGACACATCCTGCACATGAAACTATTTCTCTACTCCTGAATTGACCTCATTGCCAATAAAAGGCAATGAAATCAGAAAACGCAGCATCTCACATTATATCAGCCACAGTCCTGCGCTGGATGTTATGCACGCTTCTTCTTGTGTGTGTGCGTGCCACATGATGCCCCTCCATGAGCTCCTATGTAAGGCGTGACATCATCTATGCTCAAAGAGTGACCCTCCATGTTTGGTTTCCCTAATGGCACATTAGAAGCAGATCAGGCAGCTAATGTGCCAGCATTAGAGAGGAATAAGTCATGTGTGTGTCATGTCTGTGATATCCTGACACACAAACACACACGACCCACCCCCCACAGCTACTCAGCTCCGCATTTCCAGGTCCTAATGCATACAACACGTGTGTGTGGATAATGTATGGTTATCATATTAGCGCCACACATAACTCAGACAGTAAAAGCTCTTTGTCAGCTCCTGCCTTTCTGCCTCTCTTCCAGCAGATCTGTCTTTTCTATCGCTTTTTGTTTCCCGTTTCTCCATCTGACTCTCAGTCGACCTGTTTTTTTTTCCCACCTGAAACAAACCAAAATAGATTATAGTAAAGGTTGGAAAAAGTCATGGAGGAAAGTTTATATAAACTTTAATTTAAAAAGAAACAACAACTTGTCCATCCAGTTGTGTTTCGAGACGAAGACGTTTTTGACAAGAACTGACGGACGGCCACATGTCAGTTAAATATTCTATAAATACTTGACAGATCGAATGCAGAGCAATCACGTGAATCAAACGGAAAACAAAGCTTTTAAATACAGCTTTAATGCAGCAGTTACTGTAAACAAATGAAAACGAGATTTGATGTTGAAAACTTAACCTTTCCAACTCGGTGTCTGTCACTCTTGTCGTTTACCTCATCAACAGAGTGCAATGAAATCAGTCTTTCTTGCTAAATTTGGCTAAAACACATTCTGATGTTTAGATTACATATAACTTTTATCAACTTTTTAAAGATTTCTTTCTTCTTATGGCACTATTAAACCCTTTTCCGCCTCTTATTCTGCAGCCGTATTTATCACGTCTGTAACAAATAATGTGAATTAGATGCAACATATATAAAAAAAATCAATGTTCGGTACAAATACTTTATTTTAACAGTTTGTCTGTGTGGTTATTGTCATTTTATTTAAATATAAACTGATCTTTTATTCAAATCCTGGGAGAATGGGCTTTAATTAATCTACATTTATTATTCATGTGCACATATCCAGATAAACAGTAAGACATGAAACTAAAGGCAGAGTAAGCGGTGGTAGCTAGATGTTCCACTTTAAAGGCTTTTTAATAATTTCTAAATATAAATGACAATATAGGTGACGACCTCTACAAATATGCTATTTAATTATTCTTTAATATTGCGTTTGAATTTATTTGTATCGTTTTGAAAACCTGTTAACAACAGCTTTACCTCTCTGTTATTGTGTGAATGTTTATGAAGCATTCACACTATTGTGATCCATTTTTCTTCCGTACGTTTTTCAGCATCTTTCTCATTCCACAATTTTTGTGCTATTTCAACAAATAATAAATCAAAACGTTCAGCTCGTTCAGGAGAAGGATGACTTTTGGTATTGGTGCAACTTTAGCTTTTTGAAATATTTAGCCTTTTCTACCACTTTTTTTCATAGAAAATTAATTGAGCTCAATTTCCATCCTTCAAATCTTTAGATGTATTTACAACCTTTTACTGCTCTTTTCACATTTTGTTCTGGTTCAGCTTCTTTCAGCTCCCTTGTGTAAATTTAAACTTTTTTTCAGCTACTTTCAGCTGATTTCAGTTGTTTGTTCAGCTGTTTTGTGCTCCTTCCAGATTCTTTCTGCTAACTACATTTTTGTGCTTCTTCTAACTTCTTTCTAGCTTTTTCACCTAACCCCACTTTTGTTGAACTTATTTAAACTCTTTTCAGCCCAATTCAGCTAAAATGTGCTCTCTCCACTTCCTTCTGGTAATTTAGGCTTCTTTTTGCATTTTTCGCTATTTTCAGCTGTTTGTGTGTGTGGGGGGGGGGGGGGGGGGGCAAATTTCAGCCTTTTTCAGATAATTGCACTTCTTTGTGCTAATTTCTGTTTCTTTCAGCCTAAGTGGGCAGATGTGTTCTTTCTGCTTTCTTTTGGTAACTAAAGCTTGTTCTTCCTTTTCAGTTAACTTTTTGCATATTTTAGCTCATTTGAGCTGTTTTCAGATAAATTCAAGTTTTTCATGGTCATTTCTGCTACTTTCAGCCTAATTAAATTATTTATGCTAATTTCAACTTGTTATACTCTTCTCAACTTATTTTTGCAAGTTTCAGTTAATTCAGCAACTATTTAGCCGTTTTGTGAAAATATTAGCTTTTTCAGCTAATTCCACATTTTTTGCACTCATTTCAACTTTTCTATTCTTTCTGCTTTCTCCTGCTGATTTATGCTTTTTCTACATTTTCAGCTACATTTCAGCATGTTTTCTTTTAGCTAATTTCAGCTGTTTTTCAGCAACTTCTTCTGCAATAAGCATTCACAGTGCATTTTCAAAGGAAATGCAATAGTTACTTTTATTGTACTGATTACTGTAACAATGCCTCCAAAACTTGGCCTCGGCTCCTATTACCTTTTCAGTCGTTTTGGTTTTGGGCTCATAGTTTGATGTTCCTCTCTTTGTGTTCCTTTCAGGTAAATCTGCCTGAAAAGTTCTAATTTGTTCTTGTCTTTTTCCACACCTGCAAACCAGGGATAGCTTTGGCAGTCAATTTGTCAAGTTCACCAAACTTTTATTTATAATTTAAAACTCTAAAATGAAATGTAAATATTAGTCTATTAGCTCGAAGCATTTTGACGTTGACTAAAGCTCATGCATCATCTTATGTTATTGACAAAGACTGATGAATAAAAGAAGCGTACCTGCTTCATGAAGCTGTTTCTCCCTGCAGTTGAAGTAAATACAATAAACTCTCAGGGTAGTAATTATAAAAACACAACTGATATACAAACAATAACATGTGCGATATAATGCAACCATAACTTCAACAATTAAATCTTATTTTAAGCATATAATTTATCCTAACGGCAACGTGACGGGACTTTCTTTTTTCATTTGTATTAAAGAGGAGGCGGCAATTCCTACTTTTTTACAGGCACTTCATTAAGAGATATTCATTAGGTAATTGACATTGTGTTTAATAAATGACAAAAACCCAAACATAAAATAAAGTATATTTTTAGTGCAGTGATTCTGGCAGCCAGTCATGATGTAGCAGCATACTCCTGAAGACTTGATACTAATAATGATGATGATGATGTTACCAGAGGATCATCTTTCCTTCCCGTTTATCAGCTACTGGCCTTACTGGAACCACTTCAATGCCCATGATCAAGTTTCTTATGTGTGTGTGCGGGTGTGTGCACGTGTGTGTATTTGTAAGTGGCTCAGCTCACCAGTCTAATAATGAAAGGTTAACATTGAGGCAGCATGTACATAATAATGTGTAAAAGATTGAATTCAGCTCCTTTGACCGGCACACTAAAATTGCTGACTGGATATGTGACCTTTTTTTATCCTCTCTCTCACACACACTCATGAAGCGGCAATATGCTACACACACACACTTCACACCACAAACTTGCAGGAGAGCCCACATGCAGCGAACCATGAGCATGTTGGTGAGTGTGTCCCAGCGTGCAGGTTAACACCATGAAGTAGAGTCATTTTCTCCCTGTCGCCTCACGCTGTGAAAACGACAACACGGTAACTGTTAAACAAGACACCTTAGACCTGGAGGTGGGCACCCAGAGAAGAAGAGCACAGACAATACTGAGGAGAAAACAGAGAACAGCCAAGCTTATCGTAGGTGGAGAGGATGGGGAAGACAAATCTCAATGTGAAGGACAAAAGGAATGCAATAGCTGATTAAGAAAAAGTGAAAAGTGATCTGAAAAGCATTAACATTAAATATCTGAAGGGTGATATAAGTAGCAGAAGAGCCCGCAAAAAGACTTTGGCTTGACTTTAGCTCGTACTCTAAATCCTTGTCACTTTAAGATGTCATTAAGACACATAAAAGCACTCAAGCTGACAGCAGATAATCTTTCTTTAGAGGGAGCAAAGAGCAATTTGTTTATCAAGATGCATCAATAAGGATGATGGTATTAAGAAGAATGGGATGAATATGTGTCCTTTTTTAAAGAAATTACTTTCATAGCTGTAAGTTGTTTTTTACAAGTACATTTTGTGCATATTCTGATGGATTTCTTTACTTTTAGACCATAAAAAGACCAAACTCACATCTTTAAATTTGATATCTTTTTTCTCAGGAAGTGATTCTTAAGAGAGCAGCAGACTTGGTGGAAGCTCTCTATGGATTGCCTCATAATAACCAGGTACACGCACGCACACGCGCACTCAGTCACACACTTTTGCACTCGGTTGTCCGAATGGAAAGGAGCAGAAGGGTAAAAGCAGTTTCACTGTTGCAATCGTGGCAATTATTCCTCCCCTCATTCTGCAGGAGATCATCCTGAAACGTGCAGCTGATATTGCAGAAGCTCTTTACAGCGTTCCACGAGGACACACCCAGCTCTCACAGACTCACACGGGCATGATGGGAGTAAACTCCTTCACCGGGCAGCTGTCCGTCAACGTCTCAGAACCCACGCAAGCCAATCAGGGTAAGAGTTTACATCAGGGCTAATCAACTAATCTGCTCAGGGGGGCACAGTTTCTGAAAGCCAGCAGCTCAGGGACCAGACATCCAGTACTTGAAGTCATTATGTAAATGAAACAAGTATTACAATGATCACATTTTAAATTAGTTTGTTTTATTGCACTGAATCATAAATGCAATAAACAGAACCCAAAACCTAAACACAGAACAATATATATATATTTATGAACTCATTGGTGGGCCGTCAGTTGAATAGCCCAGGTTTAGATTGTTTATGACGCCCCAAGTCAATAATCATTAAAGACATCAACATTGGATGTTAGAAAATCGAATCATAGATTAAAATAAGTCAAAAATTTTGCAAATGGTTGTGAAGGTAACTGTGCTTGAATTAATTCACGAAGTGTAACCTCAGCACAAAAAGGTACATATGCCTAATTGATGTTTTAAACTGTTACTTTACATTTTTACTAATGTAGGGAGGTTTATTCTAGTTATACATAGATCCTCGATTGTTTTCTGTGTTGCCATAAACTAGCCAGTTAAAATCTACTTTGTGTTGTTGTTGTTTTCTTTTACATTTTCACAATTAGGGAATAACAAGAATGAAATTCAAATTAAAGTTGAGGCACAAGTATTAGTAGTAGTTTATTTTAGTATTTACTTTAGTAGTAAGTAGTAGTTTGTGTTAGTATTTATATACATGTATAAATTAAGGCATTTTAAACCCTTCCCACACTCTTACAATTAGTGGTTAAACAACTACATATTTTTAAAAGTCGACTTTAACATGATAAAAGTCGAGTTTACTTCGACTAGTCGATGACGTCATAGGAATTCAAGATGCTATATCATATTTGCAAAAAAAAAGAGCAAAAATGTCATTTATTTTTTACAACAACAAAAAAAAGAACAACAAAACATCGGGCACATATTTATGCTCCTACCATTTATAATACTACAAATAAGTCAAAGGAAAAGCAAAACTATTATCAAGCTGCAAAAATGCTGCTGTTTTTAGTTTTATTTTATTTAATCCACCACGTGGATTGGACGGAATAGGGTTGGGAACAGTGGGGGGATGGGGGTGCGACTAGTCTACGTGAAATATAAAAACTTGCAAGATGACCTAGAATCAACTAGTCGATTGGTTGGTTAGTCTATTCAACCCCTACTTACAATATTCTAAATGTTTCTAAACTCTAAACGCTCTAAAAGAGCACAGCTTCGCTCTCTCTGCCACTGGCTGCTCTCTGCCACCTGCCAGCACTCTCGGCCACGCCCACTTCCCCGCTGCAGACCGGAGATGTGACACACAGGTGCAGCAGGTGCTAAATAATTTTAAATTATTTATTTTAAGTAAAAATTCCATGTGATCGTGCGGCTCATCCATCAGTCAGCCAACTGTGTGTCATGTCCAGTCTTACTTTGAAAAACCGCGATAGAGCGAGTCCGTGAAAAACGAACGCGAATTAGCGAGGGACTACTGTATTTTGTAAAATACAGTTTCAAAGGCTTTTTCTTCTTTTTAAAATAATAATTTGTACATAACTTTGCCACTTGTTGGTTTTGTCATCCCATAAAGTCTGTTCCCTCTGTGTTTCCTCACGTCTAAGGCAATGTGTCTTTTTCTAACAACGTTTTCTGCAGGGTTTGTGCGCAGCAGCAGTAGCGTGTCTCCTCATGGTTACGTGCCCAGCTCCACACCTCAGCAGACCAGTTACACATCAGTCAGCAGCACCATGAACGGCTACACCAACAACGCCGGCATGACCAACCTCGGAGGCTCGCCCACCTTCCTCAACGGCTCTGCGGCCAACTCGCCTTACGCTAGTGAGTGCAAACGCAACATCAGCTGCTTTCACATCAAATAGTACGAGACCTGAGCTTTCAGATGAAATGGGGGTGGTTACCAGATTCAACTACAAGGGTAGAAAATGTGAAGGTGTTCTGAGTCTTCAAAAACAGCCACCAACTCGCAAACCATAGCTCTGCTTGTTCATTTCCTCTGCCTTTTTCGTAAACAGTAAGGAAGAGGAGAGAACATCTGAGAACATAAGTGATAGAGAGCATTTGATGGCAATGAGAGTTTGGTTCAGTAGCACTTTATGTGGATGAAGGATGGATGAATGTTCTCTAAGGCTTATGGGGGAGGCTTGTGGTCAGCAGCTGGACGACACTCAGGACAGGACAGGGTTTGTCTCAAGCCAAACTAGAATCTCTTTCAGGTAGTAATTTAAAAAAAGCAGGTTAAGGTGAGGATTGAGAGATAATGAGCATTTTCTCTGATTTGATGCTGTTAAGGATATATCACCAGTTTTTCTCAGTTTTCTCATGTCATCTTTTTCTTTCTTTGACCTTTCTCCTCCCAGTTGTTCCATCCAGTCCCACTATGGCCTCCTCCACTTCTCTACCATCCAACTGCTCCTCCTCCTCTGGGGTCTTCTCCTTCTCCCCGGCCAACATGGTGTCAGCGGCAGTCAAGCAGAAGTCTGCCTTCGCTCCAGTGGTCAGACCCTCATCGTCCCCTCCTCCTTCCTGCACCAGTGCCAATGGAAACGGACTTCAAGGTAATTCACTGAGTCTGAATAAAAGATCTGAGCATTTACCTCCTAGATGAGAGGGATGTTTGGTCATTTATGAACTTTTTACCCTCTGACTTTTTCTTACAAAATGGATTGTTATGAGATTTTGATAATTATTTAGAATATCAAATCTAGATCAAAGTCAATGTTTCTTGATTGTCATTCATATCTCATGTGGTGCATGTGGTGGAATGAAGTTGTGTACACAAGGTCCCAGTTACATCCAAAAAAAGTATAAATTGTAAAAGAAAAACAGTAATAAGATCTAAGATCTGAACTAAGAAATACACTAAACTAAGAATATGCTATAGTACAACTAATATTGATCAGCTTGAGATTTTTTTTAAAGCTTTTGTCAAAATACAAAAAAAATGAACACATCATTCTGCTTATATTAGCATTTAGCTCCTAAAGAAGGCTTTTATTTTGGTAAACTGTCTTCACAGAGCCACCAGTGTTGCTAAAAACTCTTGACGTGTCCACAGGATTTGTTGTTCCCATGCAGTCAGTTCACTGTTTGTGTCAGGAGCTGTTCGGTCCCGTCTGTAAAGTGGTTTGTTGCCACGTTTAAAAGACAGAATTACGTTCAGATTCATTTAGACAGCTCTGTGCAAAGATTTAAATCACCACTAATTTCCCTAAAATTTGTTTCCAAGGAGCCAGACATATAAAGTGGTTTTAATCTATTGTTCTTCAAACTTTCTAAAGGTCTTTTACAGTTTTTCTTTGAACTTTAGTTATTGTTGCTTTTTCTGTTACTTGATCAGAGCTTCATATTGTGCAAGAACCTGCTGTGTTTGCTGAAAAAAAAAAAAAGAATGACGGAAACCTCAAAGTCAAACTATTAGCCCAAAAAAGATATCCAGCAAAGACAAGACTTTAGAGATAAATCACTCCTCAGCTGATCTTCTGGATGACAAGTTTTAGCTAATACAGTAGTCCCTCACTACTTCGTGGTTCAATTTTCGCGGACTTGCTCTTTTGCGGTTTTTCAAAGTAAGATTGGACATGACACACGATTGGCTGATTGATAGATGAGCCGCACGATCAGCATAGATTTTTTTAATTTAAAATAATTAATTTTAATTATTTAGCCCCTGCTGCACCTGTGTGCAGCCCACATGTGCAGGAAGAAGCTCTCTCCTGCAGCATGTCAGCAGAGAAGTGGGCGTGGCCGAGAGCGCTGGCAGGTGGCAGAGAGCAGCTGGTGGCAGAGAGAGCGGAGATCATGACATGCTGTGCTCTTTTAGTGCATTTAGAAACATTGTTTAGAATATTGTAAGAGTGTGGGAAGGGTTTAAACTACTACTTACTACTTGGACTACTATTCCTACTTTGTGGTTTTTCACTTATCGTGGGTGGACTGAGACTGGAAACCTCAGTGTTAAAAGAGGGACTACTGTAACTCCTAAAGTTTACTTTTGTTGGAACTAAAATACTATTTTATGTCAAACTGTTTGTTGTTGGTATTTTTTTTATAGGTTCACTAAAATAAATCAGAATAAATTGTGTAGTTGTAGCAGTCTGCGGGTCAAAAGAGCCAAACGGTCCGACTTAAAACTGGTTCTTTGTTACAGTGTTCAGTGTGTGGACACAGTGGTGGTTTATCTCTTGAATTTTCAAGGATTTATCTCCCTGAAGAACTCACAGGTCAGAGGTAGGTGACTACAGGACTGAAAACCAGTACCCAGCCAATTTTAAAGACATTTTTTGAAAGGCCTTTAGAAAACCCGAAGAGCTGTCGATTAAGAACAATTTAAAAGATTATTAGAAAGTTTGGCTCCTTGGAGGCAAAATATAAGTAAATGAGGAAAGATTTAAAACTTTTCCACAGTTTTGTGAACCCAACAGAGTCTTTTAACTCTAAAATTACCAAATTTTCTCTCAGGATACACACAGGTTTTATTTAACCTTTTTCTTCATTTTACTAAAGTTATTGGTTATGAAACCCCACTGGATTTTATATTAATTTGAAACAAAGTGCTTATTTAGAGAAATGAATGCAAATAATGCACATCAAGTTAAACACGCTTAAATTATCAGGGAATGTGATAAATGCCTTTGTAAGTGTCCAAGAACGGATTCAATTGAGCGTTTTCTGTTGTGAGATTCTTATTTTTTCAATCTGAAATCTATCGTCACCGTCTCATGGAAGACGCGCAGTCCACGTGTTTTAAAGTGTCACCACCTTTGTCATGAGATTTATCATCAAATTAAAGTTTGATCTGGTGCACACATTTCTTTCCCAGGCTTTCTTCAATCTGTCTGCCCAGATTGATTTCTGACATGTACAGATTGGATCCAGATTGTTTGAAGAAAGCTCCAACAGCATCAAGTTCCTGCGATATCCCTCAGAATATAACACACATGCAAACAGCGGAGCGACAGAGATGCAAGCTCTAACTTAGAGAGCAAGACCGAAAAACAGTCCATGGACAGATGTTGAAATAACTGGTCTGTGGGTTATTTTTTTATATCTTAAACAAAACACAGATGTGAATAAATGGAGGAGTTAAATGTTAATCATCAATTATGTTTGATCGATGAGGTCATTTTTTATTCATTTCATTTCAATTCAGTTTAGTTTATTTATATAATAGCACCAAGTCACAACAGAAGTCATCTAAGGGCACTGAACAGAAACATTCATATATATATATATATATATATATAAAGTAAATTTATAACATTATGAGGAGCAGACTGCTTTGAGTTTAACTTCATCACAGACTCTCATCTTGAGCAAGGATGAAGGCGACAGTGGAAAGGAAAAACTCCTTCATGAGGAAGAAACCTTTGGCTGAACCAGGCTCAGGACAAGCGGCCATCTGCTTCGACCGGCTGGGTTTGACAAGAACAGGAAGTAGGAACAGATACACAATGGCAGGTCCAGAATCACATGTTAAGATAGAAATAATATAAAATGAAAACTATTCAATTTTAACAACTCGTTTAAGGAAATTAAGTCAATTTGTCCTCCAGTAGTCTAAGCCTATGGCAGCATAACAATCCAACCCTCACTATAGGATTTATCAGAAAGGAAGCCCAGTCTTAAAACTGGACAACGTGTCAGCCTCACGGACAGAAACTGGAAGTTGGTTCCACATGAGAGGAGCCTGATTGAAAGATCTTCCTCCCATTCTGCTCTTGGAAACTCTAGGAACCACAAGTAAGCCTGCAGTCTGAGAGTGAAGTGCTCTGTTAGGAAAATATGGAACAATAAGATCTGTAATATAAGATGGAGCTAGGTTGTTGAGGGCTTTGTATTTAATGGGATGCTCTTTTGTGGCTCTTCCGTTGTTAAATTAATGGTTTTATTTATTTGTTTTGTTTTTCTAACCTTTCATCTTATTTCTCTAACCTGTTACCCTTCTTTTGCCATTCTTTCATTTTTACCTTTCTCTACCAGATCAAACATTTGTGGACTCTAGCAAGTACTCGACAGCCAGTTCTCTACAAGGCCTGGCCTTCACCTGAAGTACGTTCCTCAGCTGCTTCTTCCTTCACCTCTATCATGTCAATGCATTTAAATCTTCTGACTAATTCACCGATTTATTGAACGTTTTACTACTTTTACTGCCGTTTCTGAATATTTGTTCTCACGCCTTTACATTTTTCACCCTCGACATCTTCCTTTTCTTATTTGCCTTTTTTTTATTTCTCCATCACATCTGCCCCACCCCTCCTCTCATGTTGCAGATGTAGCCATTTTGTTGCCTCCCTCTCCTTCTGGCTGGGAAGAAAGGCAGGAAGTTAGATATTTACAAAGACAGAAACAGACATTTGGCACGGAGGATTTTTTTCTCAACATCTCTGACTTTGTTTAGCTGTGCGTGTGGAACGAGCATGTGTGGGGGTGTGGGAACTCAAAGCGTAGCCTCAAAGCACAACTGAAATAAAGACACTGCTGCACACACACTTTTCTCTGTCTCACACACAGTGGGTGAGCACACACAGGGAGTTTGCTGGGAAGCGATCAACAATGACAGCTGTTGGAGCATCTCAACAGGTTTTACTGTCACTCTACCTGCTCCTCTAATTATAAGAGACTGACGCTAAATATGATTAGAGACTAAACTACAATACGTGCTCAAATGAGAGTTTTGGTATCACGTAGATCATTTTATTTTTAATACTACAACATGCTTTGGTTTTTTCATCCCATTATGAGGATATTAGGTTAAGTTTAAAGGTTCAGCATGTGGCATTTAGCTTTTATGCTGGGGACCATCGTCATGGTCGTCCACTCAAACTGTAACAACAGGACTGTGCAAAATTCTTGAGTCATTCCTCATTTCTTAAGACCTAGACTCCAAGCAGTCGTACTTCCTCGTAATTCTTTAAAGTGATCGTGAGCAGTAATTCATTTTTTATCACTCATTTTCAGTCCAGTACCTGAAACATGTTCAGGTACAGGAAAAATCAGAATAATGTTTTGCTTGTTAAACCTTTGACCTGTGAAGTATGCAGGCATGAGCAGGTGGCTAACCTCAAAGGGTGATCGAGTGCTGAAACAATTTGACGCATAATGTTAGATTGTAGCATAAAAAAATATAACCACAAGATGTTATTAGCTTGAAACGTGACAGATTCGATGGATAACTAAAGGATGGTGCTCCATATCTCTCAGATCCTGTGGTGGTCTTGGTTGGATTTGCTTCCTCTTGTTTCTTATTTACATGACTTTAAGATACTGTCCATCTGCTGTATAAATGTATATACCATATAAGAAGTTTTTTTTTGTAGGCATGGCACTTTTTTTGCTCTCGACTTTTCCACTTTCCTCGTTTTTTTAAGTTCACTGAACAATCTGGTGCCATGGTCATACAAGGGCTGGAAGAAAAAGAGTTGGAAAAGTAGCCAATAAGAAAAATCCATGGAAATTATTGATCGATGCCACTTTAAAAATAAGGCTCCCCTTATAGATGGCTAATAAATAGTTTATAGATACGTTATTAATTCTTCTATAAGCACTTTTTAAATAATTAATAACTGCTTATTATGGATTATTTAAGGGTGACAAGAGACAAAACTGACCAGTTTCTTGACAAATAGTGAGCCAAATCTGTTCACCTATATACAGTAGTCCCTCGCTACTCCGCGGTTTGTTTACCACAGACTCAATCTATCACTGTTTTTCAAAATAAGATTGGACATGACACACAATTGGCTGATTGATGGATGAGCCGCACCATCGGCATGAAATTTTTATTTAAAATAAATTATTTTCAATTATTTAGCACCTGCTACACATTTTGCAGCCCAAAGCTGCAGAAAAAGATTCCTCCTGCAGCATTGTGCAGCCCATGATGCAGGATAAACTTCCTGCTACAGATGATCAGCTGATCAGCTGTTCAGCATGCAGAGCGGTGAAGTGGGCGTGGTCAAGAGAGCTTGCAGGTGGCAAAGAGCAGAGGAGGCAGAGCAGGCAGGGAGCTGAAATCATGACATTTTGTGCTCTTTTAGAGCGTTTAGAGTTTAGAAACATTGTTTAGAATATTGTGAGTGTGGGAAGGTTGTAAAATGCATATATATATATATATATATATATATATATATATATATATATATATACATAAAAATAAACTACTACTTACTACTTGTACTACTATTCCTACTTTGCGACTTTTCACTTATCGCAGGTCTTCAGGGTACGGATCCCCATCGATAAACAAGGGACTACTGTATTTCATCTAGAGTTGTTATATTAAACATCTCAGACTAAGTTACTACCTTGTAAGCACAATAAGCATTTGTAAACCTATTTCTTTAGCATATAACATTGTACTTTATCACTACTTTATCAGGTCTCTCTTGTAAATGAGTCCTCAAGGCTCAATGGGATTTACCTGTCTAAATAAAGGTTGAATGAACTTTACAAGTATCTACATCTAATATTATAGCCTAAAAAAATTAGGTTTACAAAAGGCTTATTGTGCTTACAAAGTAGTAACTTAGTCTGAAATGTTTAATATAACAGCTCTAGATGAAATATATAGGTGAACAGATTTGATTCACTATTTGGCAAGAAACTGGTCAGTTTTGTTTCCGTCACCCTTAATTAATGTATAATATACTACTATTAATAATTCGCAAAGTGCTTTTAGAGGAATTAATAACATATCTATAAACTACTTATTAGCTATCTATAAGGGGAGCCTTTATTGTAAAGTGGTACCATTAAATGTTTAAAGAAAGTCTGGCTTCTTACAACACCAACTCAGCTCTGTGACTACCTCCGAGGTGTTTTAGAGACAAGTCGACTTCACTCCATATTTATCCTCTGCACTTTGAGACACAACACCAACATGCAGCAAAGGTTGACTGAGTGGTCATATGTGAGGAAGGATTTAGTATTCCTCTTCTGCATTCCTTTAATGGTGCACCTATACCTGCAAGTGATTCTCTTTATCTACTCAAGTAAAACAATTTGATACGACCTCAAACTTGCTCTTTTTTTTTACAACACTGTCTAAAAACTGATCCTTTAAGGCTCTAAATGAGATAAGTTTAAGTAAAGTTTCCAACAAATACCGTAAGTAAATGTAATGTTTGTTGTAGTCATGGAAACACAACTGCTTTTTGTCACTCTGGGCTGGGCTCTGCGTCTCACACTTCAACACTCGATCCCTGGTTTTAAAGACGACACATCCCATGATGCAATGCGTCAGGCAAATA